GTACTAATTTTCTTCAGTTCTTTATCTCTGTTCCTCTCGTTTGTGAGCCTGAAGGACCGAGCAATTAATGTATTTGCCACTGCCTGTATCTGTGATGGGTGGTGATGAGATTTAGCGTTCAGATATCTATTAGTGTGTGTTGGTTTTCTATAGACAGTGTGTTCCAAGTGTCCATCTTCGGTCCTTGTGATGTGCACATCTAAAAAGGGCAGACTGTTATCCTCTTCAAGTTCTATTGTAAATTGAATCCTTGGGTGAATGGAATTCAGATGATCTAGGAATTTCAAAAGCTCCTCCTTGCCAAAAGGCCATACAACAAATACGTCATCAACGTATCTTGTCCATAGTTTTGGCTTCAGATTTGCCTTCTCTATTGCTTTCTTTTCGAAGTAAATCATGAAGAGGTTGGCAATCACAGGTGAGAGAGATGATCCCATTGCTGCTCCATCTATTTGTCGGTAAATTTTCCCGTTGTGCATAAAGTAAGCGTTTTTCAGGCAATGTCTTGACAGATCCATTATGTATGGAGGAAGATCTTCGTTTTCTTCTATAAGCAAGAGTGCCTCTTCTACTGGAATACTCGGGTAGAGGGATTTGACATCGAAACTTGCCATAATGTCGTCCTTGTCCATCCTGAGAGAACCTAAAATCTGAGTGAAATGTTCTGAGTTTTTAACATAGGAATCTGCCTTTTCCACTATAGGCTGAAGTGCACTGGCCAGATGTTTTTCCAGCTTGCATAATGGTGAGTTAAAGGCGCTTACGATTGGACGCAGGGGAACCCCGTCCTTATGGATCTTTGGGAGCCCATAGAATTTTGGGCAACGACTCGATTTTTCCCTCGGAATAAGTTTCTTCTTTGTATCCTCGTTTATTGATGAATCGAGAATTTTGGACTTAGTTGTTTTCTCCAAATATGTCGTGGGATCTCTGGTGACTTGTTTGTATATTGGGTCGTTCAAAATATCCTCCAATTTTGCATTATAATCCGACGTATTCATGACGACAGTGGCATTTCCTTTGTCTGCTGGCATTATTAGAATGTTTTCGTTTTTGTTTAGATTCCTTAAGGCTTGCATTTCCTCTCTGCTTAAGTTTGGTTGCGGTGGTTTTGACTGTCTTAAGACTCTGGCGACATCTTGCCTAATTAACTCCGCATCTTGTTCGTCTATGGTGGAAAGACTTGCTTCGACGTTGGAAACGATCTCTTCGACGGGTACTCTTTTTGGAGCTATTGCGTAGTTAAATCCTTTATTCAGTACGCTGACTTCTGTATCGGAAAGATGGTATGCTGAAATATTATGAACTGTACTGCTTCGGTTTGTATTTGGCACTTGTCCTGATTTTTTGTAATTTGACTGAAGGATTTCTAATTTCTTCCACAGTTTTTTTGACGTGATGTCCTTGTCCTTCTCAGTGCGCCATGATGTTAATAGTTCTATGCGGTCCCACAGCAACTGATGGATCTTGTTGCTCAGTTTCAGGTGGAGTCTGAAAAGTTGTAGCTCAGTCTCACTAATTTCGTACCGGGTCCGCCTGATCTGGTCTTGGAGTAGGGCCTTGCTAGCTTTGTCCAGGATAGCTTGTGTCTTTCTGGTGCGTGTGTGATAAGACAACCTTGTAAATGTTGGCAGCAAGTTCTGGTTGCGGCAGCTTTTAAGAAAATTCAAGTTGCACAGCGAAATAACCCTCCTTTGCCTTAGTTTTTCATAACACTTGGTGGCTGTAAAGGTCTCCTTCCCGTAAAGGTGTATGATATTCTCACGTATTGATTCACGGATGGAAAAATGTGATGACACTATATTCCGGGATATCATCCGTTCGCTCGTTGAACTCCGACTGGAATCCTGCATCCGACTGGAATCCTGCAAATCTTGCATCCGACTGGAATCCTGCAGACGTTTCGCCAAAATCTCACTTGGCATCTTCAATGCTCGCGCTCCGAAAACACTTCGAACACTGGGAGGTTATCGGCGGTGCGTGTGGTATTTATACTCTGCGCCGGAGATGGTAACGGTGCTGCTTGTGCGTGGGGGGAGGTGGCTCCGCCCCCTGAATTGTCGCGTTGTTAATTTCGCCCGATCGTAGTTGCGATGTCCCCGTTGGCTGCTGCGCATCGCTCTGCTGTTTGATTATCGTTCTCCACGTGTTGGATAAATGCAGAGCGTCGTCTCTCGTATTGAGGTGTCCGGACTTTTCTATTTCGATGGCCTCTCGTATTATCCTAGTCCTAAAATCAGGAATATTAGCTATTTGTTTGCAAGTGGCGAAATCAATTTTATGGCCTGTCTGATGTTGGTGCTGAAACAAAGCCGATGTTGTTTGTTTGTTTCTTATGGCTAAACGATGTTCCTCGAGCCTGGCTGAAATCCTTCTGTTGGTCTGTCCCACATACGTCAGGCTGCACGATCCGCATGCTACACTGTATACTCCTTGGTTTTCCAGAGTAATTTTTTGTTTTGGGTTTCTTAGTATTGCTCCGATGGTATGGTCAGGTTTGTATGCCGTTGATATGTCGTGTTTCCGTAATATTCGGCCGATTTTGTCAGTAACCCCCTTGATGTATGGCAGGACAGCGATCGATCTTCGTTGGGTCTCGTCCTGCACTCTCTGCTGCGGCTGTTGTTGTTTATTGATTGCCTTGTTGATGGTGCGCCTTTGGTATCCGTTTTGTTGAAGACAGGTACTAATTTTCTTCAGTTCTTTATCTCTGTTCCTCTCGTTTGTGAGCCTGAAGGACCGAGCAATTAATGTATTTGCCACTGCCTGTATCTGTGATGGGTGGTGATGAGATTTAGCGTTCAGATATCTATTAGTGTGTGTTGGTTTTCTATAGACAGTGTGTTCCAAGTGTCCATCTTCGGTCCTTGTGATGTGCACATCTAAAAAGGGCAGACTGTTATCCTCTTCAAGTTCTATTGTAAATTGAATCCTTGGGTGAATGGAATTCAGATGATCTAGGAATTTCAAAAGCTCCTCCTTGCCAAAAGGCCATACAACAAATACGTCATCAACGTATCTTGTCCATAGTTTTGGCTTCAGATTTGCCTTCTCTATTGCTTTCTTTTCGAAGTAAATCATGAAGAGGTTGGCAATCACAGGTGAGAGAGATGATCCCATTGCTGCTCCATCTATTTGTCGGTAAATTTTCCCGTTGTGCATAAAGTAAGCGTTTTTCAGGCAATGTCTTGACAGATCCATTATGTATGGAGGAAGATCTTCGTTTTCTTCTATAAGCAAGAGTGCCTCTTCTACTGGAATACTCGGGTAGAGGGATTTGACATCGAAACTTGCCATAATGTCGTCCTTGTCCATCCTGAGAGAACCTAAAATCTGAGTGAAATGTTCTGAGTTTTTAACATAGGAATCTGCCTTTTCCACTATAGGCTGAAGTGCACTGGCCAGATGTTTTTCCAGCTTGCATAATGGTGAGTTAAAGGCGCTTACGATTGGACGCAGGGGAACCCCGTCCTTATGGATCTTTGGGAGCCCATAGAATTTTGGGCAACGACTCGATTTTTCCCTCGGAATAAGTTTCTTCTTTGTATCCTCGTTTATTGATGAATCGAGAATTTTGGACTTAGTTGTTTTCTCCAAATATGTCGTGGGATCTCTGGTGACTTGTTTGTATATTGGGTCGTTCAAAATATCCTCCAATTTTGCATTATAATCCGACGTATTCATGACGACAGTGGCATTTCCTTTGTCTGCTGGCATTATTAGAATGTTTTCGTTTTTGTTTAGATTCCTTAAGGCTTGCATTTCCTCTCTGCTTAAGTTTGGTTGCGGTGGTTTTGACTGTCTTAAGACTCTGGCGACATCTTGCCTAATTAACTCCGCATCTTGTTCGTCTATGGTGGAAAGACTTGCTTCGACGTTGGAAACGATCTCTTCGACGGGTACTCTTTTTGGAGCTATTGCGTAGTTAAATCCTTTATTCAGTACGCTGACTTCTGTATCGGAAAGATGGTATGGTGAAATATTATGAACTGTACTGCTTCGGTTTGTATTTGGCACTTGTCCGATAACCTCCCAGTGTTCGAAGTGTTTTCGGAGCGCGAGCATTGAAGATGCCAAGTGAGATTTTGGCGAAACGTCTGCAGGATTCCAGTCGGATGCAAGATTTGCAGGATTCCAGTCGGATGCAGGATTCCAGTCGGAGTTCAACGAGCGAACGGATGATATCCCGGAATATAGTGTCATCATATATATATATATATATATATATATATATATATATATATATATATATATATATATATATATATATATATATATATATATATATATATATATATATATATATATATATATATATATATATATATATATATATATATATATATATATATATATATATATATATATATATATATATATATATATATATATATATATATATATATATATATATATATATATATATATATATATATATATATATATATATATATATAGTGTTCGAAGTGTTTTCGGAGCGCGAGCATTGAAGATGCCAAGTGAGATTTTGGCGAAACGTCTGCAGGATTCCAGTCGGAGTTCAACGAGCGAACGGATGATATCCCGGAATATAGTGTAATCACATTTTTCCATCCGTGAATCAATACGTGAGAATATATATATATATATATATATATATATATATATATATATATATATATATATATATATATATATATATATATATATATATATATATATATATATATAATGTGTGAAAAGGAAGCATGGTATTGAAATTTTAAATTTCTGTATTATAGTTTCGGATTAGGATTTCATAATTTCTAGTAGAACTCTGGAATGGAAATGGCGGTGATGTAAATTGTTTAGTATATTTGACAATATTTATTTAGAAACGTTTTTGACAAACAAAAATATAGCCATAGGTTATCTCGCTCGGTTTTACGTGACAGTTGCATTTTTAGATCCTATAACACTTTGTGTTTAACCGACTTTTATGCGGGACACCTTGTCTAATTGAGATCTCTTGACGTTGACAGCCACCTCAGTCTCCACGAAGCAATGACGTTAAACAAACTGTTAGCGACAAGAAGAAGTTCTTCGAAAATGCAATGGAAGAGAGCCAAAAGCCAACCAAACAAGGTAGAACTTTGAAGGATTCTTTTGTTGAAATTGATTTTGAAATTTTTTACAGTAAAGGTGTTTAGTTATCTAAGCGCTGACGAATTGCAAAAATTAAAGGCCGAAGAGGATAAAAAGATTGCTAACTTGTCCACCGCCGAGTTGAGTTCGTTACAGAGCTTAAGTTATTCCGATTCAGAATCTGTGGACTCTCAACCAACGAGGTGAGTAGCTTCATTTCTAATATATTCTGCGTTTTCGCATTTGAACTTGCTAAGGTTTCGCCCATTATCCTGTTAGCTTTTTCAGAGCTTAAGAGAAACTGATTTGTATTCTGCTATGCACCTGCTTATATACTATTTGAAGGGGCGGTGCTAAAATGGGACAAAACCTGAGTCGCGGTTAAGATTGTTTAGACTTCTATGTTTCAAACGGATTTTTTTTTGTCTTTGATGGACAAGTAGTAAATATAGTTTTAACATTATATCTCTATTTTCTTTGGAAGGTTCTGTTGAAATCTGTAAACAAGAGAGTTGATAATAGATGATTTTTGGATGGATAGTAATGTGACAACACATTTAGTTATCGGTCTGTGTACGTATGTTCTCTGTTAACCCAATATTAGGTCTTATTTTCTATCAATAAAAATTAGAATTATTACTTCCTAATTTGTTAGCGTTTCCATAGTTTTCGTTTCAGATGGAAATTGTCAAAAGCTTCCATAAATTACAAGAAAAAAGATTTGATTCCAGTTTTAATGTATCTGAAATAATGTTGAGAGTTTCAGGAATAGAACCTGCAGCAAACAGGGACTCTTGGTCGAAGCAAACCAGAATATCGTTTGGATCTCATGTAGGGGTTTTTAATTGTTCAAAGAAATGAAAGCAATTAAGTACGAAACTGTTTTCGCTGCAAAGGGGTTTAATAGAGAAGCTAGATAATTTCCATAGAGAGTGGATTGGTTTGTGAATATTAAGGAGGCCCGTGGTCACGGATTCTAAAAGAGAATCTTTAATAGCAGAGTTAAGGTTGGGTTTCATAGATCACTTAGAATTGTTTTTAAGTTCGATCTGTAGGATTTTTTTCCTATATTCATGAAACTGAGTACGAATTTATCAGTTTTCCCAGTAAAGATATATAGAATCTAGATATTTTGCTAGAGAATAGGTTGGAGAACAAACGGTGCTAACAACAATAGGTCGCAGGGGTAATCTTTTTGAAATTGTGAGAATATTTTGAATTTTTCGCTGATAATCAGTTGTGTTCGTGACCACCGTAGCATTTGCTTCACCTGCTTTTAGAATTACTATGTCGGGAATAGATTTTAGAGATTTTAAAGGTGCTTTCAAGCTTTGGAATATTAGCTTTATTTGAAGGAGGAGCAATTTGGATCCGTTCAAGGTTAAATTTCTAAATTCTGTGAAATGACCTACGTAACATATGGTGAGACGATGATGAACACCCAAAAAATGAAACTCCTAACATTCCATAGTCAATATCGCCTCACCTTCATTTTTGTGTTCTAAAACGCACTTAAAATAAAGGTCAAAGAACTACCCTACAATGGCGTAATTTTCTGTTCATTGCGGAGTAACATAATGAAAGGGCATTTCTTACTAACCATATTGCTATTAGGGTAAAAAGATATATTTGTACTTGTATGGATTATGCGTAATGAAATAGTAGCGCGACATTTTGCTATTTGTTATGAAGCGAACATAATGGGTGAAAAATTGAATCAAAGTTTTCTTAGTGATGTATACTTTTTCATGTCCAAAATTCTTATTGCGTATGTGTTAATCCTTTGAAGACCGCAGCGATGGTGAGCACTTGGCAAACATTGTCTCAGTCAAGTTGTAAACTATGCGAATATTAATCGACTTTTTGCTCTTTGTTATAAAATATCATTACAGATCATCGAGCACCATGAGTACCGTACGGACAGCGAAAGCTGAGCGACGATTCCGCCAACGCATGCGCGAGGAGGGTCTTTTGACGGATGAAGATGAGAGTGGACTGTCTCCGGCCGAAGAAAGAACGTTGAGGGCCGAGAAGAGGGCCGCGTGGCGTGCCGCCCGGTTAAAGGTAACTTCTAGGAACATTTACACAGGTGGCGTTGTGTTTACCGCAGTTTATTTAAGTCTTTAGAGCAAGACGCGATGCAGGCCCAAATAGTCATCAAGTCGATGGTCGATATGGTGGGAGCCAGCGACGTTTCTGCTACTCCCGAGGTCGAGGGAAGTGAAGATTTGAAGGACGAGGTAACAAGTCATTATTGTTAATAGAGATTAAGTCGGGGAGTGTGTAATTGGAGTTTTAATAGGAAAAATCTATTTATGAACTAGATAGAGCAAAATCGATTTACTTGTCAAGGGCTCAATTCTTGAGAAACATGTAATGGACAAAATCGCATAGCACTTACCCGCAGAGGGTGTTTTTAAATTTTCAGTCTTGAAAAATTGCCCATATTTTTATTTATGAAAATATTCGATAAAAACATGTGGCCTACTCAGATTTTTTTTCTACAGTTCTGTTTTCCCATAAATTTATCGAAATTAAAATGAAATATTTGCCGGAAACATGTTCCGATCAGTTGACAACGTTGGGTTGTTTGATAGGCATAGCGTTTATAAAGATTTTCCTTATTCTCCGATTTATTAATATGGATTCAGCATCAGGGTGGGGTCCAGATTCACTAATTAGATTATACATATTAATAACACCCTGAATGTTTAATTTAGTTTGACCAGTGTCCGAGAGATGTGGTTTTGGTCACCAGGTGTTACTCCTAATATGGGTAGGAGGTAGTTTTATTGTGCTAGTGCTTTTTGGTAATTTTTGTTTGCACCCTGTACTCGCGGGAGGCGAGCCCGGCCGACGACGTTACGCGGAGCGAGATTATTATGTCACCGGGGTGGAGCATTATCTATGCAAACAAAGCACACTCACCCAAACGCTGTTAATAACGTTTTGCGATAGCAACTACGGGATCCCCGTCACGAATACGTTTCCGCCAGCGTGCCCGGAACGAATGGTTTCTTATCTCTCGATGCTAATCGCTGTTTGTTTTTGTTCGCAGCGAGACAATTGGGTCGCCCAGGTCGCGCATAATTAAATTATTTAAGATGCAGATCCAAAAACGTTATCAATAATTTTTCAAGATATAGACTAGTCGCCACACGGCACGTCCCAAATAGGCCGCTTACGCGAGCATAACGGCCGGGACGATATCGTCTGCAGGCACATCCGTTAGACTGATAAGAGGTGAGCTCACCTTTATCGGTCCCAGGTTTCTATTTCTATTTTATTATTTTTATTATATTATTATTTCGATTATTTTCTTACGATCTCCGACATATATTTACATCTCGATATAAATTCACAGCGTTAAAAACACGGTGTCTTTTTACATAAGCTGCTGCATAAGCTTTTACGTAGCTGCTATTATTGAAAACAATCATTTGCCATTCGCCGTGGTCGCCGGAACTGCCATCAAAGAAAACCAAACGGACTTTGTAATTTAGGTACTGAGCGGTGACGGTTGGCAACTTTGCTCCAAAAATTTGTAGCTTATCTTTACCGTTAACTATCATGGGATATAGTTGACTCCATTTTTCCGGCCAAACCCCACACAATTTTAAAACAAACGTACGCTTCGATCAATCCATTGTGTTTATTTACATAGAACATAGTTTGCACCACCGCTGTTAATAAAACTTATTGCGCACTTAACAAAGCCATGTTTCGCACTGTATTGAGGCGAATTAATGAACTACTTTTTATAACACTCAAACAAAGCGGACACTTATTTTGTGGAGGCACGGGTCCGTCGATATGAGTCCTACTTTCCAATCGATTATAGTGAATAAAACAAGGCAAATGAGTCTGCAGGTTGAAATTGTTTTTCTGCTTGTCGGATAACTTATGCCACATAACCAGCGAATCGTAGGATTTCACGTATTTGATAAGGTATTCCGCGGGTAGCATCAGCGTTGCTTATCGGACGATTCATCACTTTTGAGTTGAGAATTAATTTTGATTTGCGCGCTTTGTGTTAGTGTGTTTTATAGGTTGCCGGTCGAAATAAAATTGCAAATTTTAAAAGCACAACTTTTTATTATTTTCATATAAGAATTTTAGCATATAACTAATTCAATAATAATACAGAGTTTCGTAAGGCACACATACGTAATCTATCACTCATATGAAACGTGCACTGAGGTCAATCCAATTCAAATTTGAGCGGTATCAGCCAACTGTCGTCGAATTTTTCAATATTAACAATCAAAGGTCGGGATAGCTGTAGTTGTTGGATCTTCGAAGTCAAAAAGTCTGTTTTCGCTTGCCCTCTTAAGTATATAATGTCCGCTGTTTCAACCAACCACCTAATCAATTTGCTTCTTACAGCATCGATGTTCCGCACATGTAGAACCATACGTCTTTCCGATCCTCCAAACGGTCTTACTGGTCCTTTCCCAGTTATGCTTTTTAGAGCTTCAACTATGTATATAGCGTCGTTTGGTTTCCTTCTTGGCTCCTTCAGTTTGTCTTTCTTCTCGCGTCCTACTGGTGTTTGAATGTAGAGTTCAACATTGAGCTCATCTTCTATTAGTGCACATTCCACAAGGTCGTATTCTTTTTGCAGAAAGAGGGTAAGTTTATTTATAAGTTTTTTCTTCGCAATTTCTGCCATTTTCTTCGTTGAGTACTATAGTTCTAGCAGTCCATCCATATCTATTTTTGCCTCTTCTATTCCAACAAGCAATATATACTTATCTTGGGGTTCTTCTATTTCATCTAATTGTACTCTACTACTAGACTCGATGTAAGCAATCTTCTGTGGTTCAGGATTGTTTTCCATGGCCAATCTCTTAATTTCCGGTACGTTCTCTGTAACCTTGCGGATAGTTTTAGACTTTCCTACGGTTTTTGGGTCCAGATATACTGCCAAGTCATTTAGAGTTGCAACTTGCTCTAGGCTTTTCGTGCTAATATATGTATGAGAGAAACAAGACTCGTTCCACTCTTGATTGAAAATTTTCTTTAACGTCTCCACGTCTATTCCTGTGCCGCACATTGTTTGAAGTTTTTGCCTCGTCATGTACTCCTTCTCTACGTCATTTGCGACTGTTTGTGTTTCCACAGTCCGGGTATCTATTTCAACAGTCTCTATTGCTATCTCTCTTGTCGTTGTCGGTTTTCTAACAGCTTTGATTTCTTGGTTTGCTTGGGAGTCTTGATTATAAGACATTTCATATTCTCTTTTGTTCAGTAAGCTTCTCAAAACCTCTTGCATTTCGTATCCTGATAATTGTTCTGTCAGTCTTAAAAGTTTAGCCGCTATTTCTCGAATCTCCTTTTTCGTTTGCAGTGCAATGCAATGCCTTAGCTTCTTCACCAAGCATGTACGTAATATTTAAGATTCTTGTGCTAATCTCTTGAGTGTTGCTCTTCGGATGCATTTTCTTAATCGGTAGTGTTGGCATAGGTTCTACCCTTCTCCTTTTATTTTTCGATTGGCTCTCCAAAAATGGTGGACTCAGATCAGGTAAGGACAAGGTTCTCATCTTCGGTGGAGTTCTAGCAACCAACGATCTCTTCTCAAAAGGATTAACTCCGGTCGTTCCAGTAGCAGTATCCGGTAACCCAGCCTGGTTACCCGCTGGGATCACGTAGCGGTCGCATGCTGATGGTCGGGAGGAGCCCGCTCTCCCACTCTCTTCTCCGACCAGTACTGGGGTATCCCTCCCCTGCACCGTAAATTTATCCATGCTAGGTTCAGCCGTCTACCATGTTTAAAATTGTGTTTGGTTTATTTAAGTGACCTTCTCTAGACAGACTGCCTTCACTACGGCATTGAGCTCCATCCACCCATTTAAGCCGCCCGCTTCGGATCAGACGCTTCGTCTTTCTGGTTTTGGCTCGCCCCGGCTATTTAATTTCACCGGTACCACCCATATCTGGGAGGCGTTCCACCTATCCACCACCTGGGAAGGCGCCCGGTATGGGACCAGCAACCCACTCGGGATATGCAACCCACTCGGGGTATGCTCATGTACGTCTCGAAATCCGCTAGTCCCAAAAAGTATTCCTTATTGTCGTCTAAATAAATTGGCGCATTGAAATCGGCGGATAATATAGAAGTTTTCCCACTTATGGAAATCATAGTGAACATTACGAACCTAAATTAATCACTGCCGCTTAATTTTAACGGCATATTATTATATAGAAATTTTAGTGACAGATGCCCGCAATTGTAAGAACTAGACTTTTGTTTGGTTTCATAAGTATAATATATGCTTACATTTCCGTTAGAATTAAGATATGTAACTAATTCTAAAGGCGGTTTCAAATTTCCGTAACCATCAAAGTAGAAAGCCTTAGTGTTGTTCTTTATGTAGCTGACCCAATGAGTTCCTTTGTTTTTCTCGCTATCCATAACAATTCCGCATTCTCTAATTTTAATTTTTCGCGGTAAATTATTACGTATAAAAACGCTCTCAAATGTGGAATTTGTAGTATTCTTGCATATTTCTCTAGATATAAATTTGATAAAGCTCCTCGGGGTAAATTTGTTTGGACTTTTCTTTTCTCTTTTGATTGTTTTTCTCCTTCGATACAGCATTGCCCTTATAGAGTTTAATATAAAGACATTTTCCTTCTCCTCTACCGCTTTTAAACGGTTTTACGTGTAGTCCTTTGCCTTGAGCTCCCATAGCTCTGTTATGACGTTCTTGTTCTACCAACTATTTGGCCGGTTTAGCGTCGTTTACTGCTTTCGCGATACCTGCCGCTCCTCCGCCTAGTGCCCCGAGTGCTCCCAGTATCGGTAGTAAAAGAGGTAAAAATCCGCCAATTTTATTAGGTGTTTTTATAATACGCTTTTTTTTTGCTCGCTTTCATTTTGCCTGCTTTTTTAACGCCCATTCCCAATTTTCGCTTTTCTTTCATTACACCTATTATGCCTAAAGCGGCTGCTTTTGCTTCAAACGAATAGTCCTTTGCTTTAACCCTCTGCCAAGCTTTATCCTGTAAGATCTTGTCTGCTCCGTGTCTCCTAGTTAAATCGTTAGACTGAGATAATGCTCTATCGTGCTCTTTACAAGCAGTGTCTAAGGAATTTATGCCAGAATCACCTCTATTTATTCTCTTTTGTAAATGGGTACCCGACCCGCAGAATTGGTAACCAGGAATATGCAGTTCGACAGGAAGCTTGTTTATAAGTTTATTTAGCAATCCTGAACTTTTGGCCCTGTACAATCATCAGAGTGTTAAGAAATACTGTTTATAAAAATTTAGGAATTATGCTATAAATACTTTTGCAGGTCCTTGTTAATGACTCAGTGGAAATGAGAGATGAAAAAGTAAAAAACCACGACCCAAGCTTGGGCTAGGAATTTCAAAAGCACGGTGATCTCTTTGGAGGTAGTTTCAAGAGGGCACTAATTGTAGGACCCTCAAATTCGGGTAAAACCAACGTCATTTTATCTTTGGTCGAACATCCTAATGGAATAAGATTTGAAAACGTTTACTTATATTCCAAATCCCTGCAACAGTCAAAATACGTGTATTTGAGAGAACTGCTAAAGCCTCTACAAGAGATAGGCTTTTTTTGACTTTGAGAGCGATGAAAATATCGTTCGAGTGTCGCAGAACTATAATACGAGGGCTGGATGACTTGTGGCAAGCGGATTTGGCTCAGCTATACTCACCGATACGCGAAACAAAATAAAAACTTTAAATTCATACTAGTCGTGATCGATTGCTTTTCAAAATACGTGTGGTGTCGACCGTTAAAAACAAAAACCGGCGTTTACCCAAATTCTCAAAAAAAGACGCCGGCCGCAAAATCTGCAAAACGATCTCGCCAAAGAGGTTTATAATATCAATTTAAAAAAAATGACGACTATGTTTGACATTAATCACTACAGTACATATAGCAACGCGAAAGCTGCCGTAGCCGAGAGAGTTATACGCATTCTATATATTCATTAACTGTAATGTGATATAAAAAATAAAATCGCAACAATATATAGTTCCAGTCGTTTTATTTCAAATGTTTGCGAGGACGCTCTTGGTCAGATCTAAATTAGATCCAAAAGTATCTACGAAGTTGTTCTCGAACAGGTCCAAAAAGTCTAAAGGAACAGGTTTCGACAGATCCGACACAGACATGACCCGGTAAATAGTTTCGCTTCGTTTGTTGTTGGCATAAATTTTCCCGTAATAACTATTAACATTATTGAATGTTTGCATTATTTTAAATTCATTATCGCGAAAGGAAATGACGTTATTAATAAAGTGACCGCCGCCGGAGTCAGTCTTCATCATTTGGGATTTTTTTTGTGTTTCACTACTTACAAAAAGGTAAGTGTTCAGTAATACTGGAACAGTTCGGAAGTGAGACGCTTATTCCTTGCAGAAAAATAATGTTCGCCTGCGAATATTGCATCCGCTCGTTTAGCAGAAAAGAGCACCTCGCCAAGCACGGGGATTGTCGCGCAGCAATAAAAATTTATGACGTTTGCGGTGGGATATACAAGTCCGCGAGAAACATGAGGTCCCCAAGGCGAAAAGGACCCGCCGGCGCCCCTATTGCTACCGATGGACCCAAGCGTCCGAGACTATCGGAAGGTAAGATTTTTGTTCCGATTTGTATTATTATATTTTATAGCTTCGAAATCATCACCGTCATCCACGCGCCATTGTACGCAGTATAACTTGGCAATTCCCGCAATGAGATGGCAATGACACTTGCGTACTTTAACTCACCGCCAAAAATGCAGCGGGATGCAGGAGGAAGGAGTTTAAATAATGCAGACCTACTTCCACAACCGCGTAGTTACATACCGTCTGACTTGGCCCGTCAACCCTACAGATGTTAAGGGTTTCTTGGACCGCCTTAGCCTTGGTAGAGTCGAACGTCCGGCGCTTCGAAGTCGGTATGGAGCTATTCGGAAACTTCCTCCTGCAAACTAGAGAGCAAGTGGAAGTCAACTCTTTTAACACTAAGTATCGGGTGGTGAGCGGTAACAGCAATCTGGATAAGCTGTACGTCCAGTTTCGCGAAATCCTGGCTGTTAAAGCTTTCGAGTTTCAGAAAAGGGACAGCGGTATGGTTCATAAAGACGTGTACTATTTCGAAACTATTTTTTTTCTTTTTTCCTTACGTTGGGCGTTGCAGAATCTCCTCCATTTAGATACAGGGATTAAGAAGTACAATCATCTAAAGGTGTCGTCCTATATTAGCCCGCCCCAGGAAATCGAGGCCAAGAAAGCAGTTTTGAACGTGCAAAACACGGACAAAAAATGCTTTATGTGGTCTATCTTGGCTGCTCTCCACCCAGTCCACTGGATAAATAACGCCAACAGGGTCAATAACTATGTAGAGTTTCAGAACGAGCTGGACTTTACAGGTATCGATGTTCCGGTTAAATTAAAGGACATATCAACTTTTAAAGGACTCAATGATATTTCGGTCAAATTCGTAAATAGAGACACGTAAACCTCTTATTAATTAGTAATGACTATGGAGATAATCGTTATTGTTTAATAAGAAGTATGTCTCGGCTGGTTTCAAAACAATTATCTAAATGGATGGTCCACTACAAAGTTTTTCTGCGATGAGTGTTTGGTTTACTTTTATACCGAAGAAAAACTGAAGAGCAAGAGCAAGACTGCACTCACATTTCCATCAAACTTCCGACCACCGAATTGCGCAAGCATAAATACGGTAAAGATGTTTCCTCGAATAAGCCGAAATTTGAAATTTGAAAAGAAATTAAAAGTGCCTTTTGTGGTGCACGCGGACTTTGAAACAATCATGGCGCTTTTGGAGGTGGAAGGCGAACAGAATCCCGACAAATCGTTTACCGTCGAAACTCATATTCACGAGCCTTACTCTTTCGCCTACTATGTTAAATGTGACTTCGATGATTCCCAGTCTGTTTTTAGACAGTACAGAGGTCGGAACGCGCACAAAATTTTCATTGAATGGCTAGAGAGGGATTGCAAATCGCTCTACAAGTTCGTGAAAACTTCCGTGCCCATGGCTGCTCTATCGTTTGAATAAGAGACCGGGTTTCGAAACGCTGCGGTCACATTTGCGAGAAGCCCTTTGACCGAGAAGACGAAAAAGTAAGAGATCATTTCATATCACGGGTGAATTTCGAAGTGCTGCTCACTTCGCTTGCAACTTGAAATTCAAACTTCCGCGACACATCCCAGTCTTCCTTCACCATTTAGGTTTCGGCAGAAATCTATTTGTAAAATTGACAAAACAAGGAACATTACATTTCGTATACGAAACAGCTCTTGGTCAACAACATTGAGTCGGAGAAAGAAGGCAAGGGAAAAAAGGTATTTTCAAAACTCCGATTTTTAGATTCGTTTCGATTTATGGCCTCCAACTTGGACAAATTGAGTCGAAATTTAAACGAATGTCAGTGTCGCGAAGTCAAATTTTTTTTTACAAATCAACAAGAATTTCAACTTATTCGACACATACACATACCTAGATTCTTTTTTAAAATTAGACAAAACCAAACTACCATCGCACAAAAACTTTTATGACTCCATGCGGAAAAGTAACGTTTCGAAGGAGGATTACAAGCGTGGCTGGACGGTTTGGAATTTGTTCAAATGTAAAACTTTAGGCGAATATTCCGATATTTATTTCAAATTCGACGTTTTACTTTTAGCCGATATCTTTGAAAACTTCAGAGAGGTGTATCTGAAAACGTACGGTCTGGACCCGAATCAGTTTTATACGACCCCGGGTCTATCTTGGTCGAGCGCCCTTAAGGCGACGAAGGTCGAACTGGACCTGTTTGACCGACGTTGACATAACACACTTCTTGAAGCACGGTATCCGCGGAGGAGTCAGTCAGTGTAAGAAAGGCTGCGGTTAGTAATAAATTTTTACCTAATTACAACCCTTCCAAACCTACCTTTTACGTTATGTACTTGGACGCTACAAATTTATATGGGATGGGCATGTCACAATACCTCCCAATGGGAAACTTCGAGTGGTTGGAGGAGGGCAAAATTCAAAATTTATACATTACGAATATCCTGAACAAATCACCTAGGGGGTATATTTTCGAAGTAGATGGACTATCCGGAAGTATTGCATAACGCACACCATGAACTGCCTTTTTGCCCGGAATCCATCGTTTCGCCAATCGCAAAAACCAAAATTAAAAAACTTATTCCAAATTTAAACAACAAACGCAATTATGTATTGCATTATAGAAATCTGCAACAGGCGTTAAGTAACGGCTTAAAGCTTGTTCGGATCCACCGCGTTCTTGCTTCTGATCAATCTCCGTTGTTAAAACAATACATAGACTTTGAATACGGCGATGCGTAATCAAGCTAAAAATAAGTTTGAAAAAAATTTTTTCGAGCTTATGAATAAAGCAGTGTTTCGAAAAACTATGGAAAACGTCGACAAAAGGGTGGACGTGCGGCCCGTTGGGAAAATATTGGTGAAATCTAATCGCTCTCCAAATGGAGAGGACTAAAGTCGAATATGATAATCCTATCTACGCGGGATTTGGACTCTCATATACCACTTTTTTTACGGCTATTAAAAAGCCAAGTATGGCGATAAGGCCGTCTTACTCTACGCCGATACCGACAGCTTCGTTGTCCAAATTTTTTGCGAAAATTCCTACGGAGATGTGAAAGAAAATTTGGCAGATTCGATACGTCTAATTACTCGGAGAACAACCAACACGGCATTTCCGTAAACAAGTCCGTTCTTGGAAAAATGAAGGTCGAATACGCGGGACGGCCGTTGTGGGAATTCTTAGGTACGGGAGCGAAAGCCTATTGCGACTTGGTCAGTCAGCGCGAACTTAGTCTCGACTATAAGCGCGCTATGGACGAAGCATTGTCTTACGCGGACGACAAACGACATCTTATACCCGGCTCAGAGTACACGCTAGTTTGGGGTCATCGAAATTTGGCATAATACAAAGAGCACCGGGAAAATCACTGACGAATCGCCCACATACAGGGTACTTTAGATTAAGGGTATAGTTTTATATAATATTTGTGTTTAATTTATGTAAGTTTATGTCCATATATGTGCGTAGCTTAAAAAAATTAAACCTAATTATTTCATTTATACCATGAACGGGTTTTGTATATAACACATGTTTAACAACACAATTTGTTCGATGTGAGTACAATTAAACGTCTTTTTTTACTACATTTTTTGATTTGTTTACATCGCTTCTGTATCTCCGCGATCTCATTGGATTTGTTCAATGCTTTAGATTCTTTTCGCTATGTACGTCTCAGTCAATAAAAATGTATTTTGTCTATTATTGCTTTTTTGTTCCGACCTTTATATACGAGGGGATACCGATAAAGGCGAGCTCGCCCCTTATCGGTTTAACGGATGTGACTGCAGACGATACCGCCTCACCCGTTATGCTCGCGTAAGTGGCGTATTTGGGGCGTGCCGTGTGGGGACTTTGGTTTATATCGTAAACGTATTCATTATGTAGATTCCGTAGTTGCTATAGCAAAACGTTGTTAACAGCGTCTGGGCGAGTGTGTTTTATTTACATAGATTAGGCGCGACCTTGGTCACATAATAATCTCGCTCCGCGTAACGTCGTCGGTCGGGCTCGCCTCCCGCGAGCACAGGGTGCAACAAAATTACCACAAAGCACTAACCCAAAAAACTACCTCCTACCCATATTAAGAGTGACACCTGGAGACCAAAACCACATCTTAATGCCACTTCTCTCGGACACTGGTCAAACTAAATTAAAGGGTTGGTTAGGAATTTGTAATACCTAGGGGTGATATCTGGCGACCAAAACCTGAACTATTAATGCGCGACATATCTCGGACACTAACCGAACTAAATTCGATTTTTTTTGGATTGCTTGGGAATCTGTAAATTTGCTATCTCAAGATCTCCTCCGGGGATGGTCAAAAGGGAAATACATACTACTGATTTCCCTAGGATATTAATCCTAACTAGTTTTCCGAATGAGCAAAATTAACAAAATTGCTCAAGAAGTCATAATTTCACAAACTTTAAAGTATATTTTTGATACAGATTTGATAACTAATAACATTCAGACTCTATATAAACTTTTAGTCGTGCTTAATGGTGCATTTCCTTAAAACAATGCCTCAGAAAAATTTTCGATAAAACCTTGTGCTTATCTACAATCTGTGACTCAAATGCAAACAAAAATATTCTTGAATTTTGATCTTTTTTACCTTATGTCATGATAACTAGCATTACACTCACAAATTCCTTTTCTATACGATATTTATGCTCTTTTCTGTAAAAACTAAAAAACATGTGCTATTTCATTTTCGTAAATTCCATTTTTGGGCAGGTAATAACAATTTAACATTTTTTATGGGCTGCATTATGTTTCATTTATAGCTAAAAGTTAATAACCTACTAATCACTCTACATAAATTTTACATATATGTTAATTATAAATATAATTAATAATAATTAATAATAGGTCACTAATGTTTATTTGGCATGGAAGTTACAAACGGTGAATGAAGTACCAAAAGGTAGAATAAAAAAGGAAAATTTTCAATAGAACCTCCACAGGTTGCAGAATGTGATTAGTAGAATGTATATATCCATGTAATAAAAAAGTCTTTGTTTTTCATGGCCGTTATTCTCACCATCAAATAGTTAAAAATGATAATTATTATTCCCAGTATTTTTTCACATAGCTATTGTATTTGGGTATGTATTATGGATAGTTTTGTAATGTAAAATATATGAAAAATATATGGGACCTTGCCATATATTTTTCTTTCGACGACGAGTAATAGTTATCAAGAAATCTTAAATATAAAAGTTCTTTGTATTTAAAGGAATTTTTAGATTGTTTACTTTTAGATTACACAGTCCGCCTTAGATCTTCGGTATCGGAAACAATCGATTTTTAAATGTAACATCCTATATTTTTGAAAGTAAGTGCCACGAGCCATTATTTACAAATCTTCTGAAGGTTTGCAAATAGGCTTTATTTTATTGTGTTTTAGAATTTAGCAGCATATTCAAATTAACTTTCGTCAGACCGCCCTGTTGTTGTTGTTACTGATAAATCAATATGTTATAAAAATCCCGAAAATGGATACTAGGTTAACTGGAAATAGAAACATAATATATACAATTTTTTATTGTATGAATTTCGAAATATGTAAATATCATGCTTTGTTATGGCACACCCTGTATATTATACTATTAGTAGAGCGCGCATAAAACATCTTCTATACCTATATAGAAAAAGAAATGTTATACACTGAAAAAAACTTCATTAAAAACCTTCTAGGGACTTAAATGTTCAAAATTCGAAAGAGCGTTTTTAAAAACATTTATTTACACAGAAAGCGAAATAAAGTTTTATTCGAACTGGCCGATGCATAGGCTGGAATAATTAAGAGCATTTTTACCATATTACAATCGAATAAATAGGGCTTCTGATGCGGTGTCAGCGATGCGTTATCTTCGCTTAGCTTTGGGCTTCGTCTGCAGTTTGGGACATATAACTCCTCCCTCCTTAACTTTCGAAAATAACGGAGTGTTTTTTCGAAAAAGCTTCAAGATTTTCTCCCTGGCAGGTTTCCTCTTTGGATGCGATTCTCTTCAATTCTCGTATCTTTTCGAATAAGAGCTTCTTAATGATGAAAACTAAAATTAGAACCATGATTATTCCGAAAACAATATTGGAACGTATTCGTTTCTTCTTTCACTGGTTCCATGGGAGTTATTTTTTCTGCTAAGTCTCTCAGCTGGTATATTTCGTCAATATTTATTTTTGAAAAACTAGGGGTATGCAGGACTTTCCAGTTCATTTCCGTCAATTGGATTTTTGGTAAAAATATTGGTTTTCCGAACTGGATTTTCACATCGTTGAAGAATTTTTCTTCATTAATTTCTATTTGATTGTTTACTGCTATCTTAATCAGTACTGGTACTTCGATTTGCATATATCGATCCTTGTTACACTTGATTAACAATTTTTCAGGCTTCTGTGGCAAAACAAGAACTAAATTTTGAGTGATTTGTTCTATAATTGCCTCTGACAGGTTCATTTTCGTAATTGGGCAGTTTTCCATTCCGATGTCGTCAAATAAATTCTCCACGCATACATCTCGGGGGTGAGTTTCTTCTTTACAAAAGTAGATTTCTTCGATGACGGGACATATTTCTGCGGTGAATTGGGTTATAAAAATTGATTGATTTTGGATTGGGAAAATATGGTAAAAAGAAAATATTTCGGATTTTGAAATAGGTACATGGACTGCAAAGATCACTTTCGAGTCAACAAAATTTACCTGAGTTCCCAAAATGTCATAAGAAGATAAAATACTTTTAAATTGTGGAATTTGATATTCTTTATAAATTGATGCTAAATATTTTAAGCATTTTATTCAAATCCTAGGTGTTCTAGGTTTTCTAGAAACATTACAATATTTTGGCAATCTAAGTTTAATTGCGTAATGATCCCGTAAAAACTAAAAAGAATTTATCGTCATTTACTGCATTTTGGAATGTTTTTCAACCAGTTTGTAGTTTTCGTTGATTTTCATTTAATTTCACAATAGTTTTGTTATAATTATTAATTATGCCCTTTGATAAACATACTTGTAGTTCTAATTCTTTGGCTAAATTATTTTGATTTTTCTCAAGTGTATTTATTGCTGCTTTATAATTTCCGTCGCTGGGTCGATAGCTCCAAATAGCCATTTATTTATTTTGCCAACCGCGTTAATTAAACGTCGTTCTTTACGAACATGTGGATGTAAATTTTCAAGTTTTTCCACTGTAATTTGTATTAAATATTCAGTTCTTAAAAGTAAATTTTCGGAAAGTCGATAATAAGAAATATTATTAGTTATATTTTTAACATTAAACTTATCTTTAATTATTTTAAATGCGTTCTCTATGCTTTCTACGTGGTTAGTTTGGCTTAAATCTACGTAGTGGATAAATGTATGTTTGTTATATATTCATTTTGCGTTACCTATCTGGATAGGAAGTATAGGATTTACGAGTTTGGTAACTTGTACGTTAGTATTCGTTCGGTTAAAACTGCTACGAGTAGTTTTAGATTTTTGTCTTTGGTGTTATTAATTTATTTTCCGTTTGGTTTATTAACGGTATCTTTTTAAATTTAGGAAGTGTTTTGCTTCTAAATTTTGTTTTAATTAAAGCATATTTTTAATCACTAAAATCTGCTAGTTCTTCGCGATTTTCGTTTCTTTTTGAAATAATGCCTTCTTTCGTTTTTTCATTTAATTCCTTTATTTGTTCGTACAGTTTACTTGCGATTTAAGATAAGAAGAAATAATAGCGTTATCATTTAAATCAAATGGGTTTTGAGGATTTAAATGACCTATAATTTCATCTGCGTCTCCTAAGTTGTTGAATATCGAGTAAGTTTCGAGAGCGTTCATATCTATTGAATATCGTGATAAAGCGTCCGCTGCTTGGTTGTTTTTACCTTTTTTATAATTTCATATTCATACTCCTCAAGTTTAAGTCTCCATCTAACGAGTCGCGAAGTTGGCTCTTTTAATGACATTAGCTACTGTAGGGGTTTATGATCCGTATAAATATTGAATTTTTGTCCGAATAAATAAGATATTTTACAGCTCCAAACAATTGCTAAGAGTTCATTTTCAATTTTTGAGTAGTTTATCTTTGCCGGGTTCAGCGTTCTTGATTCGTAGCATATTGGGTGTCCGTTGTGGGATAAAATTCCTGGCATATTTCGATGCGTCGGTTGTTAATTCAAACCTCTTTGTAAAGTCCGCATAAGATAATACTGGCTCCGAAGTTAGCACATTTTTGCACGTGTTAAAAGAATCAATTAATTCTTTTGTGTGTTCGACTTTGCTTTCCTTTTTCAAGCATTGTGTCAATGGTTTAGTTATGTTGGCGTAATTTTTTATGAATTTGCGATAATAACCGACTAAACCTAAGAATGAGTTAATGTCTCGTTGGGTTTTCAGTAAAGGATATTTTTGAATCGCTTCAATCTTCTTTTGATTTGGTTTGTACCATTTGGGGTAACTACATGTCCAAGGAATTCCACTTCTCGGCGTAAAAATTCGCACTTGTCCGCTTGTATCTTCAGATTAGCTTCTCTTAATTTTTGGAATATTAATCTCAAATTTTGAATATGTTCTGTTAGTCCTGTGCTTTAACAATTACGTCATCCATACATATCTTATTTTGGACGTCTTTCAAAATTTCATCCATGACACGTTGAAAGATTGATGGTGCGTTCTTAAGTCCGAATGGCATTCTTATGTATTCAAAATGTCCGTTTTCTACGCTAAAAGCT